TAAAATCTGAATTCGAAAATTACGAACCTTCGGGTAATCGTCGATTTTATTGCTCATCCTGTTGCAGTTTTTGTTGCTCAGCTTTGCTTTCCATATGGCCGTGAAATATATCTTCTAATGTGACCGGACATATTCAAACTAATACACAAAATAAAAATACAAATGTAAAACACACATTGATATTTTTCTGTAAAACAAAACAAAGTCTCCGTTCGAATTAGTGAACTACTTACAAGCTTACACAGATAACAAAATGAGATATATGGTAAATTTGAAAGAAGTTCACGCATGTATGAGTCAAAATTAGAAATAACTATAAGGTTACACAGATCTAAATAATTGAACGCATGTCAAATATATACGAACCTTTATTGGACGCTGATGGATTTCTTTATCCACAGCTTGGATTTAAACCGGATGGCCTCTCTAATTCCGCAATTTGTGTTTTCCCCTTTTGATTAAACAACAGATTGTAAGAAAAATTTCGAGTTCGAAGTTAATCATTAACGCCCAGAAGATTATAGATTAGACATTAGAACTTCGATTTGTGTACAATTAACTAATGTAATACCTCATATCGACAGTGTTGGGCCTTCCATTTCGCCGTCAAATTAATCTTCTAATCGGCCGATGTGCTCACTGAAATTAATTATAATTTGCATGCCAAACAAAACTACACTGAGACATCACAAAAATTGAATTCTCAGTACAAAAAATAGTAAAATTTTTATAATCTTACACAGATCTGGTAAGGAGAATATAATATATGATAGATCTATACACGAAGAATTGAATTAATAATCGATTGAACATAAAATGAACAAAAAAATTATACAAACCTTCTCTTTGTCGCCGATTGTTTTCGTAATAATCAATACGAAAATAGTAAGAAATAACAAGTGAGAAGATCGAAAAATTCATATCGTTCGTCACGAAATCTATATATATCATACTTAGATCTACTATAATTTCCGTATTTGAAGCCAAATGATAAAAAATTGTGGGCTCTTTGTTCAATTTTTTTTTTCGAAATCAGACATACACCCGAAAAATGAGAGAGAAAAGCGGTGAAGAAAGCGCCGATCTTTTTGGTGAATGAAATGGAAACCCTACACAATGCCCGTGCTTTTTATACTCTTACCTAACAATTTACGGCCGTTCGATCCTTACATGTGTACCACTAATGACCGTCCGATTCGCTTTTATTATTGGGCTGTTGAATTGTACTATAATTTTGCCCTTTGATAGACATTAAAACAAAAAAAAAAAAAGGTTATATAACAGGCCTAATTTAGAAAAATTGGGCTGATGAATCGGGCCTATTTAATTAAATTTATCTGCAGCCCAAACTTTTAATTAATTGTTTTGCTTTATTTGTTTTATTGGGCTTGTATTTAACTATAAGTTTGTGTTTTAATTAGTTATCCCAATATTTAATCAACTTTAGATACTTTGTACAATTTATATATGTTGAATATTGTGTTGATCCACAATAGTTAAATATCCTGAGAAATCGAATTATAAATAATTTATTGATTTATATTTGTCGTTTAGATGTGATCAATGTTGTTATTTTAGTATTCTTATTAATGTTGTGAATTAATTATGTTATGATGTGATCAATTTTGTTATCTTTAGTATTCTTATTAATGTTGTGAGTTAATTATGTACATTTTAAAATATCGATTATACAAATAAATTGGAAATAATCTTGCAATTTATTTATTTTGATTAGGGACTATGAATTTTGATATTTGTCCTGGATCAACTATTCGTAAACTTCAGCTGACTATTGGTTCGGGACGTTCATCAAATTCTTCCAATCCTATGCCCTTCTCTGATATTACAAATGGTATTACATTTATAATTCAGTTTATATATATTAATCAATATATTATGAATAATATTTTATAATTTTTTAATGTGTCATTTTAAGTATTATTTAAATATACAGGTCAGCTTACCTTTCGTGAAAAAAGGTCGAAGAATTCCAATATTATTGGATCGGAAAGCATTGTCATAGATATTTTGAGTGACGATGAAAAGGAAAATACAATTATTACTCCACCAATCACGACTTCGTCGTCTAAGCGGTACAAAGCATGTTCTGTACCAAGTGGATTGAAAATATTAGTCTGTAATGACGATGGCGTGTCGCCAAATCAGACCCAAAATGTTGTGTACAAAGAAGTGTTTACTAATTTATGAAGTTTTTAATTTGTTTTTCTCTAATTTACAGAAGTTACATAACTACAAAGTGCATTAAATTTAATGTCCCATGAATTGTTTAATTTAATGTCTCGATGACTCGACGCCAAATCAAAAGAAAAACGTTGTGTACGAATAAGTTTTCAATAATTTATATATTTATAAACGTATGCGCCCAACGTGTTTACTTTTGTTACAAATATAACAAGTTCACTAAATTTAATCATTAATATTTATAAATGTTTAGAAAAATATCATCCCGTGCATCGCACGGGTACTGTACTAGTTTTAAATGAAAGATGAAGGTAAATAATATTATTTAATAATTATAAATTAAAAATATAAATAAATAATATTAAATAATAATTATAAATTAAAGATGTAGGGTTACCATGCGATATAGCGGTGTAGTTTACCGTAAAACGCATCATAAAATTATCTTGTGTATGAGAACACAAAAAATGTATGTTTAAAATATTAAAAACACTTAAAATATTATATAAAATATTCAAAAATATCTAAAAAATTTTATTTTATTATTGAAAGATGTGATTTCAGCTGAATTTTTTCTAAACTATTTTGTGAAGAAACATAAAGATGAAAATCCACTTAAAATTTTTCTAAACTATTTCGTAGAAAACATGTGTAAAAATATATAAATTTAACATTATATGTGAACATCTATATGTATATATAGATAAATATGTAAAATAATTATCTAAACAATATGTTTAAAAGTATCTAAAATATGATAGGGTTAAAAAGGCTAATATGTCACGCATAGATATATAGCTCGTAATATGTGTATATATATATATATGTATATATATATATATATGTGTATATATATATATATATGTGTGTGTGTGTGTATATATGGATGGGTTCCTGTGAGAAATATCTTAGTGAAAGAAATAAAAATAAATCTTATTCATTAAAATTGATCATCCAACGGTCATAAAAAATACATCGTTTGTACATTCATTAAGGGTAATTTAAATATTATACTAATACCAACTCAACTTAGTGGGACCTACCACTAACAACCCCATCTCACCCCATATGATTTTTCTCTCACACACACACACCTACCACACCACACATGCACATATACTAATACTGCAATACACTCTCTCTCTTTCTCTCTCTAGCTCTCTCTCTCTCTCTCACACACACACACCCCTAATACACGTCCCACGCACAGAGCTCAAATGGGCCTATGATTACCACCACAGCGCCGCCGCTTGCACGCCGCAACACTACCGTGGCTCTATCGCCTCCCCGACTCTCGCCGGCATCGTTGCCCGACTCTCACCGACATCGACGCCTCGATTCTCACCGCCGCAAGCCGCTCAGGTATAGCCGTGCTCAGGACGTGGTGGAGCTCCGGTTCTCCACCGTTAAACTCATCATGTTTGACATCAACTTCCACCTCGAAGCTCCGTCACCGGCAACCAACCGTCGCCGTCTCAGTAGTCCTTAATCTTCCTCTTCGATTCAGCTGCAGCAGGCGCCGATGCCGGAAAATTGACCATTGAGCTCGAAGGCCGAGCTTTAATGGCAAATCTCAAAAAAAAAAAAAAAATAAATCATCATACCTGAGGTGATTTAACTCACGTACAAGGCAAAGAACAAAGGCTGTAGAACATATTGACACCTGATGTCGTGGCCAGAGGGGGTTGAACGGCAATGGTGGAGTGGTAGGGATAGATGAAGATGATTTTGGGATTAGGGCATTTGTTTGAGAATTAAGTAAATTTCCTATGAAATTTACTCATGTCGAACCAAAATTGAATCGGTTATTGACATTCAATTACCTATGAATATGGTACGATTCGGTTCGGTCGATTTTTTGGTTTTCGAGAAAAAATGTCGGCCCTATTAGGACCTGTTACTCCTCACAAAGCATTGATGACTAAGTTTAGTTTTTTCT